ATTATCTTTGCTTTCATCCTTTAATGAGAGTAACACTTATTTTCCATTTCTATCCAAAATCGCAGTTCACATTTTATTATAAAGTAGCTTAAAAGCTGCTGTAGCGGGCGGCATTTAAGCTATCTCCTATGGAGGACTTTTGATTTGGCTATCATCACAATAGCTAGGGAGGAGTAATTGCGATAGGCATCAACAAACTACAGAAGAACTCAAAATTGATCGCTGCATTTAAGTAGTGAATTAATGTTTAAGCTTACCTTTTAAAAGTTCAAGAATAATTCTTCTGTTGCCACTTAATTTAAAAAGGATTTTATGTACATAGATCCTTATTTTCTATACAAATTATTTTTATTTCATGGGTGACAGAACTGGACACTATATAAGATAATATTAATATAGTGTAAACATGGGAAAATAGAAATTAGAATTAGTCATACATTCAACATTTGAAGAGTTAGAGAAACATAAGAGCTAAGTAAGTAAAACATATATTATGGAATCTATATGAATAAATCCGAAATTGGAGCTCAATTCTCTCACGAATTCTGAGATTAAAAAGCCGCCCCTCTACTATATAGTAATATAAACACTCTGTCTTCCCACTAAGACGAGATGCGACACTTGGTCAATTTTTAAGGTAGGGACCCGAGCGCTTACACCCGGGCTAGGAAAAAAAAAATTCCCCAGCCCACGAATACGTCGGTACAATGAGAGGGAGCGACCTCGGGCAGGTTTTCCCCAGAACTCAGTATAATTTTCCTCACTTGCGACTCTGCCTTTCGATTGAGCCTCCCCTTTGCGCACTCTGCCCAAAAACAGATAGATAATAAATAGGGTGTTACAAACTACTTTAGAGCATCTGTCTATATTTCCGAGATGAGGTATTATGTACACTATTTACATTATTCGGACTATTCTCCTCATCTTTATCGCCATATTTATTACAACGTTTCGGCCTTTCAGTATCTGTCTATATTTCTGAGATGAGGTATTATGTACACTATTTACATTATTCGGACTATTCTCCTCATCTTTGTCGCCATATTTATTACAACGTTTCGGCCTTTCAGTATCTGTCTATATTTCTGAGATGAGGTATTATGTACACTATTTACATTATTCGGACTATTCTCCTCATCTTTGTCGCCATATTTATTACAACGTTTCGGCCTTTCAGTATCTGTCTATATTTCTGAGATGAGGTATTATGTACACTATTTACATTATTCGGACTATTCTCCTCATCTTTGTCGCCAAATAGTGTGATTCCAATACCCGGTTAAGGCAGTGGAGAACTTTCAGAGTGAAATAAACAGGAGATAACTAATAACTGATATCCATTAAACATGGCATGTGGAACTAGAACAGTCTACCCCAGTGAGCGAAATAAAGGGTTCAGTTCGACATTCGAATCACCTGAAGAAGGCTGGAGCGTACAACGGCCGAAGCGTTATAATAAATGTGGCGACAAAGATGAAGAAAATAGTCCGAATAATGTAAATAATGTACTTTAGAGTAATGTACATATTAAATAGTTATTTAAACATGGTATTTACTCTGTCTCCCCAGTAAGACGAAATGGGACAGAAGGCCAGTTTTTAAGGTGGAGAAGCGAGCGTGTACACCCGGTCTGAGAACAAAAATTCCTCGAGCACCCGCAACCGTCGGTTGCGCTGTCCTCGGTGCGAGCAACGATCCATTACTCTGCTGCAATACCAGGGCGCGGCCTCGGGCATCTTCTTTCCAGCGCCGAGCACCTCTCAGTATAATTTTCCTCAGTTGGGACTCTGTCCTTGGATGGAGTCGGCCCTGAGTTTACTCTTCTCAAAGAGAGAGACGCAACTGAGTGATGATAAATAGGTTGTTACAAACCATTCGATAGAGTAATTTGCATTCACTTAACCCCCTGAAGTCAGGTTGAGAGACAAGGTAGGTTTAATATGGAGAGCCCGACCGCGTACACTCGGGCTAGTAACAAAAAATCCCAGAGGCCCCGCAACCGTCGGTTGTGCTGGCCCCGGTGCGTGCACTGATCCCTTCCTCGGGCAGCTGTTCCCCAGGGCCGGCATTTCTCAGTATAATTTTCTTCATTTGCAACTCTGTCCATTGACGGAATCGTCACCGTGTGCATTCTGCCCAGTGACCGAGACGCAATTGAGAGATGATAAATAACGTCTTACAAAATACTGGGAAGATTAATTTGTATTTACTCAAACACCTAAGAGGTCAGGTTGTCACACAAGGTCAGTTTAATATGGGGAACCCGAGCGCGTACACCTGGGCTAGGAACAAAAATTCCTGATCCACCGCAACCGTAGGTTGCGCTGTCCTCGGTGCTTGCACCGATGCCTATCTCTAGTGCAATGAGAAGGTGCGGCCATCTGTTCCCCAAGGCCGGCACCTCTCAGTATAATTTTCCTCAGAGACATCAGGTTGTGACACAAGGTCGGTTTAATGTGGGGAACCTGAGCGCGTACACCCCGGCTAGGAAGAAAAATCCTTCTCTCTTGTACAATGAGAGGGCGCGGCCTCGGGTAGATGTTCTCCAGCGCCGACATCTCTCAGAGATACAACTGAGAGATGATAAACAGAGTGTTACAAACCACGAGAGAGAGGGAGAGAGAGAGAGAGAGAGAGAGAGAGAGAGAGAGAGAGAGAAATTTATATTTACTTGACCCCCAGCCTTCACTGAGACACACGGGCCGCTGGTCTTAGCTAGTCATAGTTTGTCCAAGCTGGTCAGAGCCGGTCTATGCTGTGATACTACCAGGGCAAGGACGAATCCCTGTGAACGGTATGGTTATTTATTACGTAAAAATACAAATTGTTAGCACAAGGCTGAAGGGAGAGGGAGGTCTTCATTAGCTACCCTAGTCCTAGTTAATCAGAATCATGACCCATTTATTCATTACTATTTGTCCATTCACCACAAGGACTCATCCATCACTGCTTTCTCTTGCATACACCATAATACCGCATATTTGCAGGGGACCTACAGAACATTCTATGATGTAAAAATGTAATTTCATTGTACAGAAAGTTAATTTATATGAACATTTCATGATTTATTAAATAATGGGGTGGGAGAATGAAACCAGAAAACAGACTAAAAATGAAACACAAGGATATAACTAAAACTAAACTATGTTAATAGGACCCGTCCATCCCTCAAAATAATAAGTGTGGTCGCTGTATTCTTTCGATAGACAAAATCAAGAAGCACACTCACTAGAGGAAATAGGAAGGGTAAAAATAAATGACGGAAAGGTGGAAAATCAAAGGCTGGCCCAGTTAGGATGAAAAACGGGGACAAAAACAAACCAGGGGAGATTAGAAATCTCGATATGGTCCATAACAAAAGAGAATGCTGGGAAACAGGCCAGTAACAACACTTATTCAAATTAGTTAGGAAAACAAAACAGTGTCTAACTTAACCAGGGGAGGGTTTGCAGGAAACCTAACCGTTGCATTAAGGGAGAAAATTAAGGTTGGTCCCATACGCACGAAACAGACTCGCCCCAGTCACCCACCTTTCGCTGTAATCTGTCGAAATCAAACGCTTTCTATCTGGTCGTTACCTTGAGCTGATACTTAATGAAAACAACTTAAATCTGATGCGAATAGCGTTCGACCCGCAAGATTCGCTCATTTTGCGACGTCCACATCCTTGCAAATGCTAGCAACGTAAACAAAACACTACCCGTTTTACCCCGGAGAACGGAGGCAACGCATTGTCACACGCGTATGCAAGATCGATGGACACGAGCTGATCGAGAGCGATACGGGCCGTCAACTCGCCGACATGCTCCCAGAAAGGGCGCACCTGATGTCAATGCTAGAAGGCGTGTTTCCTCTAAACCAAGGTCACAACGGTGACAGTTTTGCAAATCTGCCTGACCCCATTTGAAGAGTACGTCATTGAGAGGTAGGATGTTTCGAATCAATCCCTAGCTAAGCGAAAACTTAGGGTTGCTGAGATAATTCACCGCTGGCGCCCAAAATAAGAAACGACACATCTCTAATGACAACAGGTCGAGCCGGTCACCAGGAGGATCCTTCGCGACCCCTTCCATATATTCATGATACAATAGTCTCCGGATAGAAGATGTGTGAACGCACCCACGTGCATACGTATATACGGGTGAGCGATAAAACACCATTCCGAGATCAAAATAGATAGTTTGCGCCCTGACAATGCGACTGACGAAAGACGCTCGCCACAAAATCCGACATTGAATACGCAATGACACATGTGTGCGCATATATGCCCAGTCCAACACTATTCATATATGTTTATATTTGTGTGAAGGTTAGTGTATTTATATCTGCGTACATATGAGCGGCGTTCCGACAAATTTTTTCCTCCGACTACCATAAAAACACCGATATACCCAACCATATATAAATCCAAAATTTAAATATTAACCGGTTTGTCTGATGATCGCCAATAGCGTGAAACCTAGAGTCACAAATTCACATCAATCCAACTATATATATATATATATATATATATATATATATATATGTATACACGCTTACACACACACACACACACACACACACACACATATATATATATATATATATATATATATATATATATATATATAAGTATTGTAAATGCATGAACGGAGTCAAATCAAACATGCAGCTCGAAGGAGACATTTTGCAATGCATTGACTCAACTCTAACTTAATGTCTTTGTCAAGAAGCCATCTGTCCGCGTCTACTGATCACAAAGTTGGCTAAAATGTCACATTAAGAGTGGGACATCAGATTGAATTTAAATGTCGCCGTCAACAACAGGTCGTGATTTGTACCTGGAGTCATAAGCAATGTAGCAACAAGTCTTCGATCACCAGTCAAGGGAAGTGCATGAAACCAGCCCTGAGAACACAATAGAAGCAATTACCCAAAATAAATTTGGCACCAGTGTTGCAGAACTTTTAAAAGCCTTTTTTTTTCTTTTAGGAATCATGGTAAAGGGGGCAGTGGCAGCTATGCCACAGCGTCGAAAGCCAATATCTATCTATCTATCTATCTATCTATCTATCTATCTATCTATCTATCTATCTATCTATCCCAGTCTGTCCATATCTATCTATCTATCTATCTATCTATCTATCTATCTATCTATCTATCTATCTATCTATCTCAGACTGTTCATATCTATCTATCTATCTATCTATCTATCTATCTATCTATCTATCTATCTATGTTTAACGGTCAGTCGAAATACAGCATCCGAGGATTGCTCTTAAATTCAGCGTCGAAATGTTAAGGGGAAATGTATACATATAATGTTATAAATGTTATATTATATCGCGCTCTATTTCATTACCACCAGCATTCCACCTACGATATATATATATATATATATATATATATATATATATATATATATATATCGGAGACTATATCAATCTATGTCAGCTTGTTAGTAACCGTCTATATTTACATATCTATATACAGATCAAACTCTATTTCTTTCTATCTGTCTGTGCACACACACACACATAAACACAAACATGCGTGCAAACGCACATACAGGCACATAGACAGACACACACACACACACACACATATATATATATATATATATATATATATATATATATATATATATATATATATATACAGGGTATCCATAAAAGTTCGTGTGCGCTTTTAAAAAATTATAACTTTATTTGTATTTGCGATAGAAATAATTTGTGAAAAGGATTAGAAAGAAGTAAATCTATATTTTTTTAAGGCTTTATTAAAATTTTATTTAAGTTTCCACATGTCCTCCATCATTAGCAATACAAAGGGTCAGACGATTTTGCAGTTCACGGAAAACATTTGCCAAGTGATTTACAGTAATGCCTGAAATCCCATTAGTTATTTTAGCTATACAGTGTAACCCGGATATAAGAGACCCGGATATAAGAGAAACCCTGATATAAGAGAGATTTTCTCTGGTCCCAAATTAGAGCCTGTGTTAATGTATATAAAATAGACCAAACACGGATATAAGAGAAACCCGGATATAAGAGACTTCTTCTCCGGTCTCGACAACTCTCTTAACTGCGGGTTACACTGTACTTAAAACTAGGTACATTAAACTTTATAATCAGGTTAAGAAAAATGGTCAAATAAACATTCAAGGAAATACTGCATACACCAGTTTCCTTCTGAAAATAAAACTTTATTCCCCAGTGAAGTTATTTAAAAATGACCTTCAGTATATAAGCTATCATTGCTCACAACAGATTCTGTTAGATTTAATATATAGGGGGTCCATAAAGTTCGTGTGCTCTTTAGAAAATTTATAGCTTTATTTGTATTTGCGATAGAAATAATTTGTAAAAAGGATTAGAAAGAAGTAAATCTATATTTTTTAAGGTTTTATTGAAATTTGATTTAAGTTTCCACATGTCCTCCATCATTAGCAATACAAAGGGTAATAAGATTTTGCAGTTCACGGAAAACATTTGCCAATTGATTTACAGTAATGCCTGAACCCCATTAGTTATTTTAGCTTTCAAATCTTCTAATGACCTAGGTTTGGTTGCATACACAATTGTTTTCACATGTCCCTATAAAACAAAATCTAATGGAGTCAAATCTGGCGATCGTGGAAGCCAATAAAATGGTCCACCCCTTCCGATCCATCTGTTAGGAAATTCCTGATTTAGAAACTCTCTAACACGCAGAGCAAAGTGACAAGGAGCTCCATTTTGTTGAAACACTGTATTATAACATCTTTTACAGATTATTTCTATCACAAATACAAATAAAGTTACAAATTTTTTTTAAAGTACACACGAACTTTATGAACACCCTCTGTGTGTGTGTATTAGGTTTTCACTAATGAAATAACGCATTTTTCGGTTGGTTGTTGATCCGGTCGTTTAACGGAGTAAATCCTTAATATTTAAAAAAAATCTTGACCATTGCCTGTCTCTTTTTCATTCAGTTCATTGTTACTTATAAACCCAATGAAAATGATTATGATGAAATAATGTCGAGTAATCTTACTCTAAGTGTAGAACCTGGGAAATCATTACAATGCGATAAGAAATGACAGAAGACAATAGGAAGAGGGTAGTCTAATGGTTTGAGCCAAGTGAATCACCAAAACAATACCCTAAGCTTCCACTTCACCCTAAAAAGTTACTGGTTGTTGTATGGTGGTCATTCAAAGGGGTAATTCATTATTCACCCTTGTCTCAACGGAAAACAATAGCATCAACCTCGTATTGTGGAGAAATTGAATGTATGCACGAAAAATTAAAACAGAAACATCCAGGGCTTGTAAGCAGGTGTAACCAAATTACGCCTGTTCAAAGACTGCAATGGCGGAAATAGGAAATGTTGCCTCATCTTCCACATTCCCTTGATATTTCTCTTATTAATTATTTAAGCATTTTGAGTTTTTCACATGATGATTCAAACATGCTCTAGTTAGGAAGAATTAATCGAAGCATTTGAACTATTTATCATATCAAAGGATGTGAATTTTTTAAAGATGGGATCAAGAATTTAGAGGTACGTTGTAGAACATTCATTCATCAAAATAATGCCTATTTCGACTAAATAAATTAGTTATTTAACATTTCAAATGCGTTTTAGCCTATGAAGGGCATCATTTAATGTGTGAAAACCATGCATACATACATATATACATACATATATATATATATATATGTGAGTGTGTGTGTGTGTGTGTGAATATAGAAGTCAACACTTAGAGGTGACAGTCTGTTTCATGCTATATGCAATCGTCAGGCATGAAACAGCCTGTCGCCTCTAAGTGTTGACTTCCATGTTCACTTTTATGTTTACACACGCTCTATCTCTGATATTGAGCACTTTATCCCATAAATATAGCACATCTTAGGACTATATTTCTTCATATATATATATATATATATATATATATATATATGTACGAGTGTGTGTGTGTGTTTGTGTGTATGTGTGTGTCTGTGTGTGGACATATTATCCTGGGTATGACGATGAACATCATCCGGTAGCATGGCTTCTGATCGGGGAAGTCGAGGTTTTGAGGCAGCGTGCAAGCACCTTTTAATTGCTGTTGTTCCGTGGTCTACCTCGGCCCCGGGTTAGTAGCTCCTGTTAGTGTCACAGCTATAGGCAAATACTTTACCCCTAAACAAAAATAATCAATGATATATTTTATCTGGTGTTGGACGCATGAAATTGTCTTGAAAATGTTTTCATTTCGGCATTAAATAATCCATAGAGGTTGATATGCCGCTAAACCTGAAACTATTTCATGACACTAATCCATAAAATATTCTACAATGTCTTAAATCAAAAATATTCCAAAATGTATCTCCAAGAAAAGTACAACATAAATCGTACATCACTGCCTCATGTAATCATGTCCACACAAAATCGGTACAGTGTGTGATGGATAAATTGCCGGTTAAAACCGCAAAAAATGAAATAGCACTGACATCTCAAGTTATTTAACAAAATGCTGCAAAAATATCTTGAAATACTAAAAAATAAATTTATTCAATAAAATCGCTATTGGATTCAACCATGGAATCTCCTGCAACTCTTTTGGACTCTCTCCCTTTTTAAGTTAGTGAATGCTGCCATAATTCTTGCCTTCACTTGATGTTTGATAATACAAGGAATTTTGTTAGCGTCTCTCCCTTAGCTGCCCCTCACACAAAACAAACAAGAGGGTTTACATTCTGAGGAGTGGCTAGATGCAAGGAGTGATATGGTCGAAGAAATTGTGTGACAGCCATAACTGGGTTCTCTTCCTTGTGTGGCATGGTGCAGAATCCTATTACCAGACATAGGATCTTCCAGCATGGCAGCACTTCCGCATCAAGACACTTGATGTAGACCTCCGTGTTGAGTTTGAGACTGCCACCAACAATTTGGTGATATCAGAAGTATCACAGTGAGTTTTCCGATCTTCGTAATCATCATTAGATTCATCAAACTCTTTCTGAATCCTTTTCACTATAATCAGGTTGCCCCCTCCTCATAACATGTTCGTGCTGGAGCTTCTCGTGTGAATGCCAAGCAGTATAGCATTCCGTTTCTAAATTTGTGGCGGAGTTAATTGCGTTGTTGTGTCCTTTTTTAACAGACGGTGCCCAACTGACCCTACTATAATATGCATTGTCTACATTTTTCTAGGGTCCTCTCATAATTACAGAAGAGATTCTTATTGTCCTTATTAAAGGAAGAAATAAAATGATCATGTTGATGCATATTCATTTTTTTCTGAGTACTTCTGATATTAGCACAATGGCATCATCAGGGTGTTGTTATTTGTAAGTGCTGATTGCTTGATAACCTAACTGACAGGGTTTCAATTCTCGGCAGGGGATGCACACTGCTGATGAGTCCCAAATATAAGACGAAACGGCCGTCCCGTGTTTTCTGCATTCTGTTGAGGTTTCAGACTCATTGAATTAATTATATATATATATATATATATATATATATATATATATATATATATATATATATGCGTATATTTCAGCAGCATATTTTTATTAAGACAGATTTCGTTAAATAATTTATACATATTCTGTCTACTTATTCGCGATAGGATCCTTTCATATACACGGATAAACTTTTTTGTGTGGTTATTTATAGACGAGAGGAAAACCCCGTGCTGATTGATATTGTATTTTTATTCTCCAAGTACTTTCGACATAGCATAATCATCAGTGTCTTGTTAATAATAGGGTAAGTATTGTCGAAAAAACATACCTAGTTACCTCCTCGTAAACGTGGACTTTTAGCCACAGCATGACACAAAGTTTGTGATTCCACATATAAGAAAGCTAATTTTCAGATGATCACAGCAATTTTTGTCATTCAAAACCATGAACGCTACAATGCTTACTCTATAATTAACAATACCTTGATGAGGACATTATGCAATGTCGAAAGTACTCGGAGAATAAGTACACAATGAATCAACACAGTATTTTCTTCACGTCTTTCAATAACCACACAAAAAGCTCATTCGTAAGTATGAAAGGATCCTATCGAGAATAAGCAGACAGAACATGTCTCAATTATTTAACGAAATCTGTCTTTATATATATATATATATATATATATATATATATAATCGGAAATGCCGTATGCCGTTGTTTAATATAAGAATCAACATATGTCCATTGATAGAGGCTTGGGGAATTTGCATTATTTGGAAATGGTCCAGAATAGTATCCTTTCA